ATAAGAGTTCTCTTTTCATATGCATAAACTGGTCTGTTGTTTGGGCATTTTCATTAGGTTTTTTGTTTTGTTTTTGAAAATTTGCATCTCGTTTCATTACTTTGCTTTGCTTTGTTTGGGTTGTTTGATCAGTTTTGTTTTCTTTTGTTTTAGATAAACTTTTGTGCATCAAAGTAGGGATGCGTTTTTTGGAAGCGCTGTTGTGATTTTAATGATCTACCTCTGTGAACCATGTTATTGAAGCCGGCCGCCATGTGCGGTGGTGGTGGTGGTGGTGGTGGCGGCGCCTGCGGCGGTCCCATTCCCATCTGTGACATGAAATGCGCCGCCTTTGCCTTGCCATGCTCCTCGGCCAGGCGCACGGACAGCGGCTGGGAGCCGCCCTCTGGTATAACATTGTTCAGCGCCGAGATAGCCTCCTGTGCCTCCTCGCGTTTATTATAGCTATAGATGATGCATCGCAGATATCGATAACGATTTCGATATATATACACATATATATTTAGTAGGAATAGACAAATGTGATATATGAAAATAAAAAAAAATAAAAAAAAAAAAAACAAAAACAGATGATTAGAATGGAAAGTGTTGATTGGATGCGAGAACATTATTGATGTATCCAGCTGTTATCGATTGGTATCGATATACATGGATTTATTTAGTTTTTCTTGTTTTTTTGTTTTTCTGCAACTTACCGCACAAACGCCACGCCCCTTGGCCGCCCAGTTAACTTATCACGCAGTATATTCTTTTGCACTATGGAACCGTATTTGCCAAAGATCGTGTCCAGCTGATCGTCGGTTATCGTGCGCGGCAGATTGGTCACATACAGATTTGTATCCTTGATCGACTCACCGCCAGGACGCGCATATGAAACCTGCAACAGAAATAAGAGATCGTAAATATAGTATCATCAATATATAATAAATTGAAGTCTGAGATCAGAGCGAGAATCAGTTGAAATTGATGTGAAATGTTCGATGAGTTCATTTGAACTGGTTCGCTTATGCATTAACTGTATAGTAAATATATCAGCAAGTATATTTTACATACTATTTCAGACTMTAATTCATTTTCCCTATATTTACCTTGAGCCGCTTATTGCGCACTGTGATCCCATTGAGAACTTTAATAGCACGCTGCGAGTCCATTTCCGATGTGAAGTCCACGAAAGCATAACCAAAACTGTAGCCAGTCTAAACGAATCAAAAGGGGAAAAAATATATATAGTAATATATAATTGTCGTATTTTCTTTAATGAATTTATAAGTTCACTTGATTTAGATGAACAAATGCACTCACCTTATAGTCTCTCATGATTCTGCACGTATTGATGGGTCCAATGGCTCTGAATAGGGCATACAGCTCGCGATCAGTCATATCCTGCGGCAAATAGTTCACTATCAAATTGGTGTTGCTTGTGCGCTGATCGTTCATCAGATCATCGCTGCCGCCGCTGCCGATCGATAGGCCGCACAGATTGTTCAGCGAATTGTTGCTGGCCATTGGCATGTTGCAGATGTTGCCGCCGAGGGAATTGGCGCTGCCGCCATTGCCCCCAGGGAAATCGTTGTAACCGCGACGCGACGAGGAACTTGGAAATGTAAATTCTGTGTCCTGTGGTGAGAACGCATAACGTGACTGTAATCAAATTAACCATACAAAGATATTCTAATGTTGAGAGTTGGCCTCAGAAAACGCTGTACGCTGTATCTTTCAGTTTATTTTTTCAGTGGATATTTTACGCTTGTTGAGATATTGACTTTATTTAATCGCTGTTATCGATATACATACTTTCTCTTTGTCTCTCTCTCTCTCTCTCTCTCTCTCTCTCTCTTTCTCTCTCTCTTCTCACTTTTTCAGCAGCATCAACAACAACACACAAAAGTTGTCTACAAATTTGTTATTTTAAAGCTTAATTAGGTTGCAGAAAAATTAAAGTTTTGCTTGAATAGAAAATGTTTAAAATGCTCAAAATGTAACGTGCGTACTTAACAGTTGCTATTTAACAGACGCATGTTAACTTTGGACAGCACTCAGCTCTCTTGTAGCTTTTGCTGATTTTATGTTCAAGTTTGATTCTGTTTATGTTCGTGTGTATGTGTGTGTGTGTGTGTGTATTTGTGTAAATGTGTGTATTTAACGGCATTCAGAATGGCATTTGTTTTTTCTTCTTTTTATTTAAGGCAAACGGTATTGCAACTTGTGAGCATAAAGCATAAAAGTTAAAACGAAAGACAAAGGCAATTCTCAAAGAATATGAATAAAGAAAAATCGAACAAATTGCCAGCTATATATGCATGTCTGTGTGTATGTGTGTGTGTGTGAGAGATATTTATGTGTGTGGGTCTATGACATTGATTGGCTGCAACAGCACTGAGCGTGTATACGGAAGTGTGTAAGAGAATGGGAAAGGTTATCTTATTAACAGCAGAGAGCTGTTATTGAAATGTTGTTAGCAGCGCAAAAAATAAAATTGCTGCTGCTTGATGTCGTGTGACTTTGGCTGTTGTTGTTACTGTTACTGTTGTGTGGCTGTTATTGTTGTTGCTGTTTCAGTTTATTTCTGTTGTTGTTGTTGTGACTTTGTTTTTGAAGTTTTGTATTTTGTTTTGCTGACCAAAATGCAAATTTTAAATGATCAAATTTAAAGTTGTATTTATTTAATTAGATTATTTTACGGTTTCTTTATTTATTTGTTTGTTTGTTTTTTTTTTTTTTTTAATTCTGATTAAAAGCGTGTGTGCCCCAGGAGCGTTCAATGAGACAAACTCAATAACATTCAACTAGAATAAATTTTTA